TAATTTTAACAGAGGAGATAATATTCTATCGTTACAGACTAGTAGAGTTTTGAAAGAGCACGACAAGTTAAATATGTTGTGAAGTATTTTAGTGAATAAGCCGATTGCATTACGTGGAGAACAACAAAGAAGTGGTGGTAATGGAAGAGGAATAGTGCTTCTGACTGAGTGATTGCGGAGGTGGATAGTGACCTGGCTGGTTTTTGTAATTGTGTCGGGTGATTAGTAATTGACTTTTCATTTGAATAATGGAGAATTTGATCCAATTTCAAAGGGGAAATTCGTCGTGTATATGGCCAGTGAATCGTGAACTGAGAAGCTAGGAAACACTGGACAGTTGTTTCAACCTGGTTGGGTCTCTTCAGTAGTGCGAATCCATGGACCCAGCTGGGGATAGAACCCGGGACCTATTGGGCAGAACATAAGCATGCTACCATCCCGGGCAGCTGATCCGACCGTTATGGCTTACAACTGAGCGATTCGTTTTTATATGTGCTTGTGGTCCAATTGATTGATTGATCGATTGACTGACTATTTGAATTCTGGCATGACGGCATTCGCATGTAGTGAAACGTGTGAGCCGTACTCTGCCTGCCTTCCTACACGCTGATCGTTCCTATTTGTTCCCCGGTTTGTGTAACGGCTACAGATTTGCTGTTCACAATAAATTTACTGCTTCATTCGTTGTGTGCTCATTTACCTACCAAATTTTGGACACAGTACTCCGCTAAGGAGGATTCATTGGAACGGCAAGCTCCCATGGTGGTCCAGCAGGGTCCCAAAGGCACAAACCCGAAAGCGCCAAACTTTGAAGCAGCACCTGAGGACCCGAAGTCACCAAAGGTATCTACAGTACCTCAGGAATAGAGATAGGGCGATCGATGCCCAGACGGCCTGCCGTAGAGCCTTCGAAACGAGACTGGCTTAGAGGATCAAAAAATGCCCAAAGGAATTCTTTAACTACACGTAGTCTAACACTAAGTTGCGTACGACGATGGGCACTCTTAAGCAAGAGAGTGATCACCAATTGCTAGCTAACTCGGAGAAAGCAGAGATGTTTAGACCCTTATTCGAAGCAGTCCGTGTTAGGGATAGTGGCTCACTCGGGAGACAGGCAACTCCGAGGTCCATCTCTATTATGACCGATTGCGAAATACTCCCCCCAGGAGGTTGAGGAGCACCTGAGGCGTCTAAATACGGGCAACTCGGCAGGGTCAGATGGCATCCACCCAGCCAACCTGAAACCCCTGACAATGGTCCTTGCCTACCCACTGGCCTGTTTGTTCAACTTATCCCTGTGTTGTTGCCAACTACAAGCAGACTGGAAGGTGGCAGAGGTAGTACCTATCCACAAGGAAGGGTCCAAGGGCTCGGTAGGCAACTATAGACTGATCAGCCTTTTGCCAATTACACTAAAGGTAATAGAAAGAATCCTCAGAGATCGCATCGCAAAGCACGTACTGAGTCAGGACTTGATATCGCCCAACCAGCACAGTTTTGTGCAGAAAAAGTCCTGCTTGTCAAACTTGCTGGACTTCATGGACGAGTTCACCCAAAGGCTGGACCGAGGGGAGCGTGTGGAAGTCTTTTACTAAAACTTCTAAAAGGCATTCAACTCAGTCAACCACCAACTACTGATCGAAAAACTTGAGAGATTCCGTCTGTCTGAACAGGTCGTCAGATAGATTATGGGATACTTACTTGTCCGGTCTCTCTATGTCAGAGTGGAGAGAGAAAGGTTCACTCGGGGAGCAGTCCGTAGTGGTGTGCCCCAGGGGTCCGTGGTGGAACCCGTACTATTCCTCATCTACATAGACGACCTAACCAAAAGGATAGTACGCCCCTGAATTTTGTTCGCCGACGACGTAAAACTCGTCAATGACCTCCTCTACAAACGCTATACGGGACGATATGGACGATGTCCAGAAGTGAACAGAGGAGTGGCTGTTGCCACTAAACGCCTGGAAGTGCAAACAGCTACCCTTAAGGGGTCTCTCGCAGAGACGAGGGTCATAAAGGGCACA